TTACTCCAGGGCCTGTGCTCTTAACCACTATGCTATACTGACTCTCATAAAATGAAAGCAGTTCCAGACCACAAGGTAGAAAAAAAGGAACAATTTAACTTTTGTTAGGATTCAGAACTCAGGCTTCCACAGACACTCCTACCTAAGTTCCCCTCTGTTCCTTCCACGAAGATACCAGCCAAATATGGCAACACCCAATAGCGGCGTCTGTAACGATCTTGACCCAAGGAGACTGCTCGAAGCATCTGGGATGAGTGAAGCAGCTTTTTGCGAAAGAAGAGCTGACGCTGGGTAGACAGCAGAAAAATGAAGATGAATAAAAAACACATTTCCAGAGCAACAGTGGCGAATTCATTAGTATATGGGAGAATGGCAATGGCTCTCTGTTTTCCTAAAGAATTTTGACACCATCTGGGCCCAGCTCAGAAGATGACCAATTCTTGCCAAGCCCATGCCTCCAACTCTTGGGAGGTTAGAAGCACAGTACCTTACTGAGTTTTTCTATCTGACGCTCTAACTCTGGGATGCTAGATGCTATAGCATCAACCTGGAAGGAAATAAGTGGATATTGAGAAAAAGGAAATTAATCAGTATCAAGAAAGAAAACATCTACTTTCTATCCTCTACTTTCCTTGTTCTCTTTTTAAAAATCATTTTCTTATCCAGTACCTCTCCATCTCTTCGACCTCTGCGGCCATGAATAGCTGCTATAGTCTCCTCCTCTTCCTCTTCTTCCATGCCACTGGTTTCCTCCATGATTCGAGAACTGCGCCGCCGTCCCAGGCCTTCCTCTGGCCCTTCCATTTCTACTTCAGGTCGCCCAGTTCGTTTGGCCAGAGCAGTTTTCAGTCTTGAAACAGATGGAGAGAATGTGTGAAATTGTGATGAAGAACAATGCCACAAAAGGAACACCCAGAATCTAAATCGTCCTGAAACCTGGTTAAGATCCCAAGTCCAGGGAAGGGGCTAATGTCACCAAATTCTAGGCAAAAGTCCTGGCTATCCATCACCCTTTCCCACTCTCTCTGAGCTCTACCCTGTCTTATCCCTACCTCCGAAGTCGGCCTTCAACAATCCATTTGTTTTTCCTGTAGCTGGACATACTCTCCAGAGTCTTGTCAATCTCACTGCAGGGAAATAGGGAATGTAATTTTGAGGTAGAAATGGCAGCACAGGAAAAGAGAAGGCAGACTTAAGGATAAAGGGGCTGCAAGGAGTTTCAGCCTAGAACCTAGAATGGATGAATGGCAAAGGAAGGCTTAAATTTTCCTAGTCAAAACATCTTCAGAGCTTGGCAGGGATAGACATCACCCCAGAAACTTCTACATGACTGAACTCCTCCCTCATCCCATTCTGATACAAGGCATAAGATAACCACCCCCACCGCCAGCCCCTCACTTGATGATGAGGGTGGAGCCATTGAGCTCATGCACGAGGAAGGCCAGGACAGCAGCCTTCTGTTGGGGTGGCTGGGCCTGAAAAGGCTGGGTGCGCAGGCTGTCACAGAAGGCTGGCTCTACTCCATATGCCATGAGGAAGCAACGCAGAATCTCAGACACATTGTCTCTTGTCAGTGGGATCTCAGACACCTTCTCCCCCAAGATCTTTAGGGACTGTTTGGAGGAGAACATAATGGGAATGAGGAAAACAAGGGTAACAACTCAAACTGGGTGTACCTAGAATTTGGGGTTAAGATTAAACAAGAAAGCTGGACGTGGTGGTGCACATCTATAATCCCAGCAGTTTGGGAGAATGAGTCATGAGGATCACAGTTCAAAGCTAGCCTCAGTAATTTGGCAGGACCTGAAGCAATTTAGCAAGACACTGTCTCAAAAAAAAAATTAAAAAACTAAAGGGCTGGGGATGTTGCTCAGTGGTTAAGTGCCCCAGGTTCAGTTCCTAGCAACAAAAATACATAATAAATGAGTTGGACAAGAGGAAAAGAATGTAAGTTGAGAGACCACAAAAGAAAAGTATAAAATTCAAAAACAAAACAACAACATACGAAAGAAAGGGAATAAAATAAAGGAAATGTACAAAGTAAAGCCAGAAACATCAGGAAAGGAAAAAAAAAAAAAGGAAAACAGAAAGAGGAAGAAGTTACATCCTCTTCACTTCCCATCACTTTAGGGAGGGGCTTATAAGCATTCTGAAAGAGAAAGCAAAACTGACACAAAGCCTGTCTTCAAGCCTGTCTCAAGCCTTCCCAGCACGCTTAGGAAAGAAGCTCACCTGACAGTAGGAAGGCAAGCCAGGATCATAAAGTGCAGCCTTTAGGAGCCGCACCAGCAGGTCTTGCACTTTGTCCAAGCTGTCACCTTGACACAGGAGTCCCTCTTGCAGGACTCCAAGGCTAGGCACATCTTTGGTAGGGTCAAAGCCCAGCACCTTGCCGAAGCTGTGCAGGAACTCCACGATGGTCAAGCAATCTGAGAAGGCCCTACTGGGCAGTGTCAAACCAGGAATGCGTGTGAAGTCAGGCAGGGGCTGGAGGGGTAAAAGTGGTAGGGAGTCCTGTTAGACTAATCAGAAGGCAAAAATATGGAAGTCCATGAGGTCCTTTCTTTTATAGAAATGTCCTCACAACTGGCCCCTCCATGACCCAGGAACTATTACTATCCCCACACTACCTGGTGGTCAGCCAGACACATATCCTCTGTGGGCTTCTTCATTTCCTCCAAGATCTTCTGCTGCCTCTGCCGTTCCTCTAGACGCCTTTGTGTGGCCAGGGTCTTATCTGCTTTACAGGCTGGCTTGGCTTTGGCTACCTCCTCCTTTATTTTTACCTTCTCTTTTTTTTCCCTCTTCATTTTTTCCTTCATTTTTTCCTGCTTTGTCTTTATCTTTTCCTTCTCAGCCTACCCACCCAAGGGAGAGAAGAACCAAGAGTGCCGTAAAAATACCAGTCACCACCCTTCTGTGATGCCATTCTGGTGGCTTCAAAATTAGACTTGGTGATTGTGTACATGCACTTACCTTGAATTTCTTCTTAGCATCCTTCTGCTTTAAGCTCTTGGTATCTTGTTTCCGTTTGTTTCTGGCCTGTAAACCATAAGGGAAGTCATTTCTCCTCAAACTCTGAAAGCATCTCTGCTTGGGCTAGGATTCAAAAACAGATAAGGGTGCTGGGGAGGAGAGATGAGAGATGGGATGATGAGGGTTTGGCAATGGATCAACCCTGGAGATGCCCACATATTCTTGAATAACGCCGAATTCCCTAAATCAAGCCAAGGAAACTCAGGGTAACAAATGTGTGTTGCTACATAGGGGGTGACAGATGTGGAAAGAGAAAAAAAAGATGAAGGGAGTTATAAGAAAAGTTAGCAACTAATGCCCCTCACCTGCCCTTGTACAAGAGTCTGACATTCTCCCCGTTGTACCTTCTGCCTCATCTTCTTTTTGCTTTTATTCATCTTTGCTTTATCCTCCTCATTCAGTGTTTCTATAAAGGTAAAGAGAAGAATGAAATGAGCGAGGTGAAGAGACAGGTCCCTAGTATCCAGTGCAGCACATAATTGTTTGTCACAAACAATTCTACTGAAGAATATATATTTTACGTATACATAATAATAAATATGGGGAGAGACACCTGCCATGGTGATGGCACAAAGAACTCAAATGGCATTCCCTGTGTAGAAAGAGCAGCCCCTGGCTCCAATTAGACTGTTGTGGCAACAGTCCAGTTAAGGGAGAAGAGGCCACCATAGCAGCATAGCCTTGCAACCTATCTCTCTCAGGCTACCCGACAAGGGCAGAGACATACAGACTGATTTTAGTGCAGAGAAAGCTGAGAGAGAAAGAAAACAAAATGCCAAACTGCCAGGAAAAGATCATGGCAATTGGCAGCATTGATTAACCAAGAGTATACCAGAAAAAAAAGGGCAAATAAGGGACTCTTCAATAGTCAGATCAGCACTGACACAGATATTGCTTATGTCCAACAACAATGTGTTGCTCTATTAAAAAAACAAAACTGAATTTATTCCTTTTTAGAAGACGGAATACTTAAGTATAATTCTGCAAACAGTGTATTTCATAATAGATATTTCTGACATAATAGTACCTATCCTTTTTTTTCTTATGTAGAAACAATCATTCATCTACATGGCAACCTTCTGTATTACAGGCAGATAACTACTTAAGGTGTCCATTTGTTTTTGTTTTTTTGCAGTGCTGGAGATTGAACCTGGGGTCTTATGCATGCCAGGCAAGTGCTCATCTACTGAGCCACATCCCTAGCCCAAGACTTCTATTTAAATATGAGATTTGTTCTAGGTCATACAGTTAGAAGATGGCAGAATTCTGAATAGGAATTAGAAAACTATTTTTTCCACCTTCTTCACACTATACCAGGGTAAATGAAATATTTACTGAAAAAATTAGATATTTCCCTACTTGTATATCTCACTAAAATAGTGTCAATTATATTTAGAATTCAGATGTAAATTCTGAACCTCCATGACAACGGAAACGAGCAAGGTAAGAGGTGTATAACCAACATAAGAAAGGACCTGAAAGATGGGTAAAAAACAAAGTCCTCTCCTCTAGCTTATAGAGCTACATCTGGCTAGAGCCCAAAGCTTCAGTGATTAGAATTCAAGGAAGAAGTGGCTGGAATAGATGTACCCCAAGTGTTGGGACCCTGACACTGTCTTCTAAGGAGAAGCTGAGTCAGATTTATTCTGTCCAAAAGTCAGTCATGCACCTGGGGAAACTCAGATATTAGCAATTCAACAACATCTGTATACCTCAGAGAGGGAAAAGATACCAAGGTAAGAGATACCACCATACCTTGGGCCTCCGGTTTCTTTAGGAAGCGGTTGTCTGTCTTATTCAATAGCTCTGGAATTTTGACCTTGGGAGGCCGACCTCGGCCCCGTTTCACCTTGGGGACTTCCTTAGTTTTGGCTTTCTCATTGTTTCGAGGTCGACCCCTTTTGCCAGTAATTGCCTGAATCCTGGATGGAATCTCCTCTGCTGAGAGTTGTACCCACTGCAATCCCTAAGGTAGCAAGGAAGACTATGTCACAATGGGAGAGAAAGGCCCCCAGAACCTCCAAACGCCATAAGAGGAAGCTGTAGATTGTCTACTCTTTCTCAAGGGCAAAACCATATTTAACCCTTTTGCCAGCACCTCTGGTGTGTCTCTCTCTTCAAAGAAATCTCCAACAGGCATCCGGGGACTGAAGCTGAAGTGCTCCCGGCGGACACTGTGTACCACGTTTCGGCTCAGGTACTAGGAGGAGGAAGTAAAGCAACAGTAATGAGATTATAGCCCTACGCATGTCTTTGGCCAGCAAAGGCACAAGCAGAATAGGCCCCAAAGCAGACAGTGCTCTTATTTTGTCACAGGGCCCAAAGAAATGAGCTTCTACTTTAGAAACACTTGCAAAAGCTACATTACCTTGATTACTTCTGGAAATTGTTTCATTCTCTTCCCACAGGGGCCATAATACCAGGTTTCCCCCTGCCATCGATGGCTGCCTTTCTTGATGCGCACCTCTCTCCTCCACCTGCCAGAGAAGCACATGGGCCCTGCCACCAGGTCACACCCCTACCCACTCCCATGCCACCCAGGAGTCAAGCCCACTGAGCAGATGGCCCACCCGCATCTGTCTCATTAGTACTGCATGCAGATGCAAAAGCAGCATGAGACACAAGCTTAACTAGAAGACAGGCTTGAGTTCCAGGAAATACCTTAGAGCATTCAGGAGGAAAGCAATACACTAAATTGTTCAAGCCCAAAAAGACCTATATCCCTCATTTTTACAAAGTCAGTGATATGAGCAGCCAGAAAACCCTCCCTGAAGCAATTCAGGGCAATTACTAAGTTTCCAGTAAAAGAGGACAAAGACCTAAGGAAATAAAGGCAGACTACAGAGGGTGGGGAGGCAAGCAGAAGAGTAAATTTGCAGCGGACTCCATGAAATGACTCAGTAGGCCAGGCTTTAGTTAGAACTCTCTGTTCTAAGTAAGAGTATTGTTAAGACCAAACCTTATCTTTCTCTCAAACTTTTAAGCAGAACTCATACTTAGTGACCACAAGTAGCCTTACAGGGGTTGGGCGGGGGGGGAAGAGATCCAGCAAGACAGTTATTTCCACAAGGCCCTTGGTGTCAGCAGCCTTGCTCATTTAGAGATAACAATATGATAAGAGAAAAAGGTCCAATAATCCACTCCTGTCTAACTCATTCCTCCCCCACTTCAGATGAAGAGAGGAACTCCCCTCTTCCTAGAGTCATGCATTCAACTTGTCAAGGTCAATGCACATAGCTATCTAGAGCATTTACCCATGCTGGAGGGGAAGACGAACTTCTTCTGGGGTGGCAATACGTCTCCTGAGAATATCACCTTTGGAAGAAGATAGGAGATACCTGAGTTAAAGAGTTTAGGCAAAATACTGAAAACAGGCTAGTAGGGAAAGGCTGAATACATCATAGGACATAAACTTTTCTAGAAAAAGCCAGAGGTACAACAGAATCTGGACGCTCACCACTTCCAGAAGTAGTGACTCCCCCAGTAATCTCTTCCAGGTCAGCAGAAGCCTCAGGGAAGCTGCTGACATCCTTATTTGCTGGGGAAGCTGTTGGGAAGGCAGCTGCTGGGGACGTTACAGGGGAAGCTTTGGGGGAGGTCACTGAAGTTGTCAAAGAAACTTCTGAAGAGACTGCTGGGAGGGCTACTGAAGAAGTTGAAGAGACTGTTGGGAAGACTATTGGAGAGACAAGTGGAGAGGCTGGAGAAACTGCTGGGGAGACTTCTGGAGAGATATCTGGGGAGGCTGCTGGAGAAACTGCCAGGGAGATTGCTGGGGAAGCTGTTGGCAAGGCTGCTGGTGAGGCTCCTGGATGCAGCTGAATAGTGGATGACTGGTCAGGGGTTGGCTGGGAAAGGGGTGGTGGGAAGTCTGAAGCCTGAGTCTCCATTTCTTCCTGTTCAGCATCACTGCCATTATTCAGGTCAAAGCTGTTATCTAGAAACCATAGGAAAAATGGCACCAAAGCCAAAGAGGGTTATTTCAAGGGCTCTTCCCTAGGGTTGGGAAAAGAAAGTAGCTTTGGTTTTCCTCCCCAACCATTCATGAGGATTAAAGGCAAAACTGCTGCCCCTGCTGTCACTGTATGAAAAGATATCTTTTACATCTGGAGCTAGGAAGGCCTATCTAGTCTTCTTTCCCTGCAAACTCCAAGTCAAAAATTCCTCTGAACAGAAGACACAGGTCAGAGTGTCCTGTGTCCTTTTTTAGTCCCACCACACACTATCCCATAACCTCCTCAATTCCCTACAAATTTGTTCTTACAGAATTCCTATTCCTAAGGTTCTAATTATAGGACTTATTCCCTCACTTTTTTGCAGGCCAAGAACTTTTTTTGTCCCATCTCTCCTCACTTACCTTGCAGGACAGATTCCCCTAAAACAGGTGGAGAGTTGGGGCTGGCAAAGATTGAAGTTGATGTTTGACTATCATCTGCCAGAAGACTGAAGGCAGTAGCATTGTTGAGGGAAGGGCAATCAAGGGCAGAGATCACAGGGCTATCCTCAAGAGGTAGCTTGTCTTCTGCACCCATCAGCTCTGTGTCATCTATACCATAAAGTCCTCCACTCACTGGCTCTATTTATATGGTAAAAAAAAAAAAAAAAAAAAAAATCAGAAAGCAGGACACTGAGGAAAAATCTGCAATCAAGATTTCACTGAGAAGTACTGGCCTGAAAATATCCAATTCTAGTTTACAGTGTGAAGATTTTTTAAAAATATTTTTTTAGATATAGTTGACACAATACTATCTATCTATCTATCTATCTATCTATCTATCTATCTATCTATCTATCTATCTATCTATCTGGCTGAGGATCAAGCCCAGGGCCTCACATGTGGTAGGCGAGCACTCTACTGCTGAGCCACAACCCGATCCAAGATTTTTTTTTTAATATTTATTTTTTAGTTGTAGTTGGACACAATATCTTTATTTTATTTATTTATTTTTATGTGATACTAAGGATTGAACCCAGGGCTTCACACACACTAGGCAAGCGCTCTACCGCTGAGCCCCGACCCCAGCTCCAGTGTGAAGATTTTAACGTTAAGTCAGGGGATATTTATGGCACTCTGAAAGAGTAGTCATGAAACTATAGAGAATACAGTTTGGAGGTAAAAAATTAAGGAAGAGGTATTGATCATGTATCCACTCACAAATCCTTGCAAAATTTTAGCATTTATCATAAATTATACTACAACGGGGGTAAAAAGTTATTGTTCATTGGCAAATGTTTTCTTTTTCTTTTTTTTTTTTTTGTGGTACTGTGGATTGAACCCAGGGCCTTTGCATGTGAGATAAGCACTCTACCAACTGAGCTATATATCCCTAGCCCAGCAAATGTTTTCTTTATAGTTACAACCAATAGCCCAAATAGCCCAAGTGTGTGGTAGTTAAGTTCCTATTAAACAAATTATTAGAGCCCAGGGCTCTTGGCCAAATGGAACACTGGGAAAGAACATGGGAAATGAACCAAATCAGTTCAGAGTGCAACTGGCTGAGCTAGGTCAGTGTAACTGTGGTTTGCCAAAGGATTATCCAGGGGCACCAACACACCAGATTCTCCAACACTTTCCCTGGTTTTCTATCTCTTCTAGGTAATAGAAGCTGGCTATCCTCTGCTTAGGTGAATGTCAAGCCTACCTGGTGCCAGAGAGTCAAAGGGCTCAAGAGAATCTTCACTGAGGATTGGAGTGTCTTCCAGTTGATCAGGAAGATGTGAAGGATCATCTAAACAGCTCACTGTGGGGTCAGGAACCAGGACTGAGACCTCTTGGTGTAATGACTCCACAGAAGAAACAGAGCCATTATAGCCACACATCTTTAGTTCTAGGGAATATCAGGAAAGAGCAAAAGTCAAAATCAATGCCTTCTATTGGTTCATTTAGCTACAGCAGGTAATTAGTTTTTGATAAAAGGATAGTCAATTCATTCAACATTTATTGCTACTAGGGTGCCAGTTCTATGTTGGGAACCTATCTTATCAAGACACTCTAAATAAGCAGAGATATGCTGGTAAAAATCAATCCTATGGCGAGCAAAGAGAGGGGAAAGGAGATTGGGGTCTGAGATAAAAACCCCACCATGTTCTTCGATGTTTTCCCTGATGAGTGGGAACACAGAAATATTCTATGATTGTATAAGGTGGTCACCCTTGTACTGAGAATTAAAAGCAAGCTAAGCTTTTAGCTATTTTGAGGGAAACAATGAAAGAGGTTGTCACATGTACCAATGCCAACAACAAAAAGGAAACTGGGTAAACAAGCAATGGTATGTTCTGCCTCCTTACTTCCCTCCTTCACAAGCCAATCACTATCAGTTCTCAGCTCACTTTAGCAGCCAGCCTCAACTTGCCATAGTTGAAACAGCTTCAATGCCCACTGCTAATGCCCTAACCCTTTAGTATTTTTCGGAAGAAGCCCTTCTTGATGCAGTGTCTGTTGGGGCTGTTTCAGGCTCGCCCACCTGCCCTCTCCAGGCCAGCAGCTCTGCATGAGCTTGAAATAATTTGCACTCCCACTCGCGAGCTGGTGCTGCAGCCACAAAAACACCAGCCACTTGGCTCTGCTAATCACCAACATGCAAATCAGCCTCCACTGCAGAGAGCTGGAAAGACAAGTTTTCCTCACCTCAAAAGCCACTGTCCCCCACAGTCCCATTTTCCTTCTTCCCACCCAGTTCATGGACCCAGTTATACCTGGCTGTTCCTCTTCCAGCTCCAGGCTGCCTACCAAGCCAGTGCCATTCTCTGTCACAACTGTCAGCTCCTTTTCTGCTGCCTCATCAGGATGGATCCCACTGCCTACCTCCTGGGAGGGCGCAAAGGTCTGGATGCTAGATCCCAACATAGGAGAAGTCTGTGGGGAGGTGAAAAAACCTGGGGGTCCATTGGGCATCACCTCAAAATTCTGGTCAGGAAAGGAATCATACAGTTCCTGTGAGTCGAAGTTTAGCCCCATAGGACTCTGGGTACCGTTGGCCCAGAACTCTTGGCTCCCAGCCCGAAGGTTAGTGTTGTGACTTGGGGATGAAGGTTGTCGGCTGCCCCCAAGGATGCCGTTGAGTGGGTACTGTCCCCCCGAGAACTGGGAGAGAAGGGGTGGGTCCTTGAGGTTGCTGCCAGGATTGGCAGATGGGTACTGTGAGTAGTTCCAGAGACAGTCGTAGGCCACGTTGGGGTGATGGAGGTGTGAGGTGCTGGAGGAGTGGGGAGCAGAGTTCAAAATCCCTGAAGTAGTAGTGTGAGATACAGTAGATAAGCCATTAACATTCACATCCCCATTCAAACCTGGCAGAGAAGGAGAGAAAAGGGTTAGTTATGGATATATACGTAAGTAATTCTACCAAAGAACCCCAAAGTAACAGCATTGACTAGAAAAAGGGAAGGTGAAATGGTGGGGGAGTCCCCCTGTTATATTTAGCTTTTGGGCCTCTGGGGAACACCAAACCCAGATGCTCTTGGAAGTAAGCTTAATAACTGCCGCTGAGGCTGCTGAGTAGGGGGCTGGGGAGCTCTCCAGGTCTACCATAAGAGCCACCAGCAGAGAGCTGGCTGTTGCTGCTGCTATAGACTTTATTAAATGAAGCTGTTTGCAGACTCCCTACAGTGACTTGCATTCTCTCCCACTCTTATTCTCTAGGGGAATTCTTCCCTTGAAGGGGCATGAATAAATTCTCCAATCCCCCACACCCGTCTTTCCCTAGTGCCTATTTGGCCCCACAGTGGCACCAGAAGGGATAGCCTCCATCTCACTGGCACATGCAGATCCAGCACTTTGTGCCGGGCTAAGAATAGAATGTGCAGTCACCACAGCTACAAGATTCCAGCTCAGAAGGTTGGGCTGGGTTTTGCCCTTCCCCATAAGCCCATAAAGGTAGTATGTAGTGGGTAAAATTCTTTGCATGACCAATACTGCAGAATTCAGCTCAACATCAGTGACAATCTCTGGGATGATGAAGGACAATGAAATAAAAGGAACAAAGATACCTAGGAAGCTGGGGTGGGGGAACCCCAATGAAATAAAGGAACCTCTTTCTATACGCAAGCCTCTTGTAGAGGATAGGAGGGCAAGTGGCAAGTATAATCCTATTATAGTAAGGAGAGAAGCATGTGGACTTCTCTCTGCTTCTAAGCATAAAGGACTTGAAATCCAAGCAAAATTTTAAGAGGTACTTGGTACAGACATGATACAGAGTAACTGATAAGCCAAATCTAGAAAAGATCAATCCTGGCAGCAACATTTTCATCTGGAATTATAAATTTCTCTCTGGAAAAGCTAGGTAAGCACTAAACCTTCCCTTATCCCTATTTTCTATCCAAGGAAAGGAGACGACACAGGCAAATTTACATCTGCCCTCTTCTCTGCTGCACAAAAAGGCAAACATACACGAACCCTTCACTCATCCTCCCCACCACTAGTCCTAGCCCAAAGTTTCTCCAACCTCTAAAGGCAGTGTTTCAGAGGGCCGGTCCTTTATTTCTCTCTGATGGGTCCAACCTGGTCATCAGCAACAGTAGCCACCTCACTATTCTCTGGCAGTAGCCAGGGAACAGGGCTGACAGAAGAGCAGGCCAAGGTGAAAAAGCTTATGTTTTCCTAATCCCCTCCAAACTCATCAAGACTAAAAAATGTTGCTTCCAGAAACCCCTAGAATTTAGTCTTAGAAGTCTATTTCTCTCTAGTAGCTGGAGTTCTATGGATTTACTTTCTCCTCACCTAGGAGGAAATAAAATTGTGGAATAGCTAGCCCAAAGTGGAGCCAAATCTCCTCCCATCAAACTATGCCCATTCCCACCCCAGGCCATGTGGCCCTCACACTCACTTTTCCCTTGCTGGGGGAAGTTCATGGGAGACCCGTTAGTGTAGAGGCCCTCCCCTGAGGAAGGAGAGGGTTTCAGTCCTGAGGCAGCAGGTGCAGGGGGAAGGCCAGTAAAGTTAAAATGGTCGTTTGCCTCCATTTCTGTAGGAGGGGAAAGAAAGGGGGAAAAAATACTGGCGGTTAAACAAGGTTATGTCATCTGGAATCTTCCAGAGGGAATTACCCCCCTTCCCTCCCTTTTTTCTTCTCTTGAGAAAAGGAGGAAATATACCCCTAACCTGGGCAATGACCCTATTGAAACAGTCTTTTAAAATCAACTTTATAGTGATTTAAAAAAAAAAAAAAAGTTCATGGAAACAAAAAACAAAACAAGACACAAGTCTATAAAGGAGTCTGCCCTCTGTGTAAGCCCCACCCTCTTAATTCCCAGCCCAGGCTACTCTAACCCTCTGTTAGATATTATTGGCCCCTGATTGTAACATTTAGCATTCTCTATGGTTGTTTTATACTCAAGATAAGACGAGAGTCCCATTCCCAGGGTCCACAAAAATGTTCTCAAAACCATCTTTTTGACAGGAATCCACAGAAATGGGGGTGTTGGCAGGAAAAGCATATTTAATATGCATGTTTTATTATACCTAAACTAAACAGTGTCTATGTTACCCTATCCACACTTCTAGATATCCTAAGTACAGTTACATGAGTAAAGGGATTTGAAAAAGAGGCTACATTTCAGAAAAAGTGAATATGGCAAAATTGAAATCATCCAGGGATATTCTACTACTTTTTTTTTTTTTTGGCAGTGCTAGAGATCAAACCCAGGGTCTCAAACATGCTAGGCAAGTGGTCTACCACTGAACTTCACCCACAATCTCAATATTCTATTTCTTATTTGTGGGAAATACCAGGCTCTCCAAGAATCTAGGTTAAATAAATGTCAGTGTTGAAAAATTGGTTAAATGAGAGTGTTCCAAAGAATATTGTTATGTCTACCGTGGTTAATTCCTAATGTTTTGGTTTCATGGCCTAAACATACAGGGTCATAAAGAGAACAAAAGATGCTTATGATTGCAGGGGTTCAATGAGGGGCAGTAAGGCTAAGAAGCTATTCTCTTTTTCCTGAATATGATGTGATATAGTACTATGGAATGATGAGAAATGAAACCCTTGATCAGAATAAATTTAACTTTGAAAGAGCAAAGAGAAGAAGAAAGATAGGAGGCAGAAGCCAGAATTTTTGGCAAAGTCTGATACATCAGATACTTGCGATATACTAGTACATATTAATGATATGTGAGAATCTGTCTTGATACACAAAAAGCACCTCCTTGGATTATAGTATTTTTTGTGTGTGTGGCACTAGAGATTGAACCCCAGGGGTGTTCTACCAATGAGCTACAACTCCAGCCATTTTTTGAGACAGAGTCTAAGTTGAGGTTGGCCTCAAACTTGTGATCCTTCTGCTTAGCCTCCCCAGTCCTAAGATTATAGGTCTGCACCTCTGTGCCTGGGGGATTACATTACTATATTCTCAAGGGCAGAAGAATTCACAAAGAAAAGTTTCTTTTCCAGTTCCCAAGATGAAGCATAAGAAGACTTAGGTGATGTATGAATTAACCATTTGAAAGGGAGAATAAATTGGTTAAGAACTATTTGGCCACGGGCTGGGGATGTAACTCAATTTAAAAAAAACCAAAAACAACTATATGGCCACTAGCCAACATTTGTAAGAGTTATGCTCATGAGTATACCACAAACTGCAAATGAGACCTCGTTAGGTAAATTATATATACAATATATACAATTCTGGACATGAAATATAAACCCTTTCTGTATAGTACATGGCATTATAACTAAGGTTTTCCAAATTAATATCACAATTATCTCTACCTTAACCAATTAACTAAAACAAGTAGTAAAAATAAAAGTTTGTGTTTTGTTGACTTAAGGAGAAAAACCTTAGGACTCACTTCTTTTCCGTATAGGATTTTCTATTTCTATTCTAAAGTAAGTATCAGGCCTCAAATTGCTGTGCATAGATGAATAAACCAAGTGTCTAGAGAAAAGACCTCATGGTCCTTCAGAATTCCCCTATTTTATTGTTAAATACTACTCCTTATCTGTAGAAGGTCTGAAAAATAACCATCATAAGATTACTAACCTTCTGAAGAAAGGTCATTCCTTAATCTACAGGTTAAGCTTGCTTAACCCACAGAGCAAAGAGGAAATATGGTAGTTCATTTCAGATATCCTGGAAATGCTATGCCTGGAGAGTCAATTTCATTTGGTTCTCTCCCCAGCTTCACCTCTCCTTTTCTCCAGTTTTATGCACAGCCACATCTTCCCTGCTCTGTGAGGGGACAGGGACGGACGAACAGACACATACACACACACACTTTTTCTTCCTTTGTACTCTGAACTACACCTTCTCACTCAATGATGGACCACAGTTA